TATCTAGCCTACTAAAACAAAAAATCTGAAAGTAAGAGTGTCAACTATATTCAACAGAAGCTATGGTTTTGTTTATTAAATTTCTCGATTTCACGCTGGCTGAACAATCCACATTTTAAAACGTAAAATAAAAGCTCCACGTGTTCACTTTTACCTCTTTTTTGGTCTTATATCTCCTATGCTCTACACAAATTATAAACAACAAAATGTCTACTCACAACTGAATTATCGAACTAAGGCCCGGAGTTATAAGTGAGGGCCAAACTACAAAAACTTCAACTTTGTAGTTTGTGAAATAATTAAAACGATATTATTTACCACTAAATCCGCCTTGATGGATTTCAGCCACTCCACTTCCTTCGCCAAAATAGAATCACGAGGAACTACGGCTGTCTCGGAATACTAAATCAACCAGTAAAAATGTAAGTTAAATAAAGAGAATTAATTTCATGATATTATTTAAAGCATGGCTTATTTGTTTGATTATCAGTCAGTCAGACCTTCTCCAGAGAAGCAAGGCGATCAACTGTCAATGCATCTGCTTGAATTGCGCCACAGTCTAAGAGTACCTAGAATTGCAGAAAAATTGTATTTAAACTGAACGACACAACAAAAAAGGAACATGTCTGAAGCAAAAATCTTTTGTCATGAAGCATTTTCCAAAAAATAGAGAAACCTTGCGGATGAAAAGACGAGGAGACTGTATTTCAGTTGTAAAAACGTAATCTGGTGCACCAGTGACCACATGAACATTGTGTCCGGCCAGGATGAGATGTCGAGCAACCTAAGTGCACACAGGAAACTCAAATTGATTACGAAATGGCATAGGCAAGGTAGATAGTATACATTCACCATATTCCCAGTTTCTTACTTGAAGAAAGAGATAGATTGGTTAGATACAGAAAATACAACAATTTGACTAAGTACTGATATACTGCATAGCTAATGAGGACTAAATAGGCTTGTAAGAATATTAAAATCAAAGATGATTTGACAAATTTCTAAACTAATACAGCCCTTTAGAAGCCGGTTAATGATGATGAAACCAAATAAGAAGAATTAACAAACATACAGCCACATAATATTCATACCATGCTAATGAAAGGAACAAAGTACAGCTGAAATCATTTTAACATAATTTAACAAAATTCCATATTCTAACTTAAGTAGCACCATATGAAATCGAGATCATGAACTCGAAAAGAAGTTTCTACAGTGACTTTTTTGCAATTTCAGAAACATGTTTTAAATTTTGAATGTATTGAAGATTAGTCAAATAAATGATCGTCAATCTATTTTTCACTGATTTTTGTTAAACATGAATGAAAGTAGGGGTGGGCGCGGTTCGGTTCGGTTCTTTTCGGTTCCAGAAATTTTCGGGTATTTAGTAAATGGAACCGTCGGTTCCAAATATAATTTTGGAACTGTTCGGGTTCGGTTCCGTTCCGCTCCGTATTATAATTAAATTTCTTAACATTTAAAATAATACTACATAAATACACCTAAAAGTAGATACTAATCTTAATAACAAAA